TCATCCAGCACATTGATTAGGAAAGTGTTTAGAAGTGGTAGAAAAATCATTAAAGCTATCACTCAGTTGAACAGCAGCAGTTAAAAAAAAAAATCAAAGAAGATACCAGGGTGTATTACAAAAGGGGCAGAATACTAAGTAAGGGTTGATACTGAAGAATACATTTGTTGGATGCCAAATGGAATATGGTGTTCAGAAACAAAGACTAAGAGAAAAGGGACTTTGCTGCCTTTCAAATAGTGCAGTATAAGAAAAAAAAAAAGCAAATACCAGATATGAAGAAAATGATTATGAGTACAGTTTAAGGGAAGTGGATAAGAGTACCCAATAAAAGATTTTCAATGGAGCAAATTAAATGTCTATCAAGCAGAAGTTTCAAGGTAGTTGAGAAATTAAAAATCTAGGGAATACAGTCTGATATTCAGGGGAATGAGTAAACTCCTATTTATTGAGTTAAACAAGTATAATAAATAACATACTCACTACATTTTCTTTATAGTCCAGGAAGTGACAACTGCTATTAAAGACTGGATAAAAACATTTTTCATTACAATACCTTGTTTTCAGCCACTTTGTTTTCAAAAATTGTAGGTGGGATGAAGAAACTAACGGAGGAAGTTCTAAACCCTGCATGATGCAGGCAGTCATACTAAATGACCATGATGGCTCCTCCAGGCCTCAAAGAGTCTACTACTAACACTGCATAACTAAAACAAACAATCACGCATGTCTAATGACAAATTCTGAACTCTAATTTCTCCGCTTCATGTACTTTGTTCAATGATGTTAAAACTCAGTAGCGACATACCTCAACTCAAGATACTACTAATCTATGTATTTTCAATAATGTTCCATGTTAGGTCTTGCATTGAGCAATGGCTTCAAGTCTTATTAAAACAGTTCTGAGGTCTATTTTCAGTTTCACAGGGTTTTATTTGTTTTTCAGTAAGATACATGCATGAATCCTTTATATATGTTTAGCTGTATTAGTAATATCTTCCCAGACAAATGCTGAATATCAGCTATGGACCTAATGGTATACCTTTCATCTATGTTTATTAATATTTCATATTATGATGATAATTTCTTCCCATTATGGTTGCTTTGTATACGTTCATATAATGTTTCAGCCTCCTGTGTAACAGTTTAAACATATGCCTATACCATTCATTGTTTCATGAATATCAGACACAAATCATAATAAAAATGTAAATGTTTTATATTTAAACGTTTAACATTAGTGTCAAGGCACAGCTGTTCCTAATACTTATTTCCAGCTTTTATGACCAAGACATATTCAAATATTAAGTTGGTTAAACAGGGTAATTTTTCAATTTATCAGTTTAATTTCCATATGCATTTGGAAGAGGGACATTTGAACACAAGAACTTCTACAGGACTGCTATATCAAGTTTACTACACCTACATGGAAAGAGATAATTCCAGTGCCTAAAATTACAGGAATTAGCAGAAATTTTCATGAAGCATATACTACTCTTAACTGTTACAGGCTTATAACAATATTAAAAAAAATCTACCCCATACAAAACCTTCTTCTCTTCTCTTTAAAACCTAATCCTGTTCAACAGATATCTTTTCAGTCTATACTATAATGAAGTACATTGTAGAACTTCTACAGTATTTTACAATAGTGTTTCAGTCTGTATCTTAACTCCAGTTACGCTTATGTTTTGTTTATTTTATACTTTAACCAGTTTTCAAATACATTCATCTTTACTTCAGTTGCTGCTATCCTATCATCGCAAGTATTTCAATTTCTTTCTGTAAGAAGTGTGGAGCACAAAATCAAAATACGGATACTTTGGTCATTTATACGCATACATTTTTCCAGTAATATGCCAGAGACCTGCTGCTTCAGAGCAGAACTGATTAACTGAGTCTGCTCCGCCTGCAAACTGAGGCGAACTGCACTCCGCTGCATGCAGTTGTGTAAGTGGCAAAATGCATGTCAGCGCACACAAAATGGCAGTGGTGTGCTTTCAAACTAAAGCACCTCTGAGGTGTTTTAGTTCAAAAGTGCACCACTGTCATTTTCTCAGTGATGCGCATTTTGCTGCTTATACAACTGCATACATCGCAATGCCAGGCATTTTCCAACGTACCCAGTGCTGTGACGCATGTATGTGTGAAAATGCCATTTAATACTAGGCCACTACATCTCTTTTTACAATCTATACTTAAGTAAAACACACCTTTTAAAGCCCTGATATTATTTCCTACTGAATACCATCATGAAAAGTAATAACAGGATGAATAATGAAAACTTTACTTTTCTCTCAAAAACAAAGCAAATGCTTTATCCAATAATATTATTTTTTCCTTTTCTGATAGCTTATGTTTATATTTCAAAATATACCATGAACTATAAACCAAGGTAATGTCTATCCGAGAAAGAAAATAAAGGATTTTGAGAGACAGAGTTACATCTGTATTTTGTTATCTGTAACACATTTTGACCATCAACACAAAATGACAGAAAACATTGTGTATTTTTGAAGCTTTGAAATATATATTATTTGTAGACTGGCCCAGCTGGCATATTTGTGGAGTCGCTGGAAGGTACGTGTCTGGAAGGGTTCATTTGAAAAATGTGGTAAATGTTACTAGCTAAAGTATAAGCAAAATATAGTAGAGGCAGACTGGTCTTTCCTTGTCCCTCAAATTTATATTCTTAACATTTTTTAGAAAAAGCTAGACAGTTCCAAAAGAATGAAGCAGCAAGCTAGGATTATTTTAGAGGGAATGAAAAGTATGAACCAAGTATATAACCAAGACAACAGTAAAAAAGTTATCTGAATAAATTATACGTAGAAAACATACCCTATGTGTGTCTCGGTCATTCTACCTTCACCACTGAAAACACACCTAGCAGCTAATATATCGCCAAAACTAACATCTACAGGTTGCTCTACAGGGTAGAAAGCCTGAAAGAGAAACAAAAAAGATTAGTACCTTAGATTTAGTGAAAATTTCAAGTTATTTCCTGTCTATACTTATGTGATTTTTATCTTTATGTGATTTTTAATATATAGAAAGACATTACATATGTCAAAACAAAAGCACAAAATAATAGTGATTAACCTGAAAATTGATTAAAGAGTCCTAAAGACTGTGCAAAAATGTTATCATTGCTTAGCAGTCTGTTAATAACTTGCACATAGGCAACAAAGCCTCTACAAATCTGAAAACTCCTGTAAGCACTTTAACATCTCTGCTCTACTGGCTCTCACTAGATGCAGTGTCCCAACACAACCTATGCTAGTGACATTATGACATTAATTTCCTTTGAACCTGCTGAACACCCTGAATGCTGACTTATAGCAGAAATAAATACCTGCTGGCTTTGTTTGTTTTAGTTTGGAAGACAGCTTTGCAAAGTTCTTGAAAGGGTAAAATATGTCAAGGGTATAAAACAATGAATTATGAATCTTGTTCATAAGTTTTCCTCCCTGCAGCACTGAGAAATCAGGCTGACAGTATAGCAGATGCTCTCCTCTGTGTGGAAGGGAGGTGGGAAAGGGAAGACAGAAGTTAAAATCCACTCTTCACCTTCCAAGCAACAAAATAAGTGAAAGGTAATGAGGTAAAAATAGAAGAAAGTTGGCCATTTCATACTTCCTTTCCTTTCAGCTACTAGGAGGCGCCAAAAAAGGATGGCACAAATATAAGAATAGTAAGCCTATGCGAAACACCATTGTTTTGTTTTGCCGTTTTGAAGAGACAGTGTTTCATTTTGTTGTTTTCTTTCATTTTGTCGTTTTCTTTCATTTCAAAGCACTGTCCCATTTTGTTTAGTCGAAACTGTTTCACTGTTTCATCCATAGGTTATAATGGGGAATCATGAAAATGCCTAAAACTTTCTCATTTCTTGCCTGATTTGGATGACAATTGCAGGGATGGTAGCCCCTTCTGAGGGCATGAAGCCTGCTAAGTTTCATGGAGACAGGTACAGCGGTTTCTGGGAACCTGCACCTCAAACTCTTCAACACACAACTCCTGACACTTGCTGGCAGCGGCATCCTCCTTTCATCTGGTGCACAGATCCGGGGGCCTGTACCCCCGGGAGGGTTGCAGGGCTGTGCTGGACTCTTCCCAGGGGTGTGGACCCTTGGATCTGTGCACTGGATGAGAAGAGGCTGCCGCTGCTGCCTGGGACCAGCGTTGGCTGCAGTCCGCACCCAGCAGTGGAGAAGATTGCTGCCGCTACCTGGGACTCCTTTCATCTGGCACACAGATCCAGGGGCTCACACCCCTGGGAGGAGTCCAGCACAAGCTGGCAGCCCTCCCGGGGGTGTGAGCCCCCAGATCTGTGCCCTGGATTCGAGAAGGCTGTCTCTTCCACCTGGGACTGGCATTTGTTACGGCCTGCGCCCAGCGCTGAAGAAGATTGCTGTTGTCACCTCTCCCAGCCTAAGCCTGCCTCCTGTCATCCAATGTGCAGATCGTGGGGCTCACAGCCCCGGGAGGAGTCAGCCTCCTCCCATCCAAGGTGTAGATCTGGGGACTCACACCCCCAGGAGAGCTGCTGGGCTGTGCTGAACTCCTCCCAGGGGTGCAAGCTTTGGGTCAGGCAGCAATCTTCTCTGGTGTTGGGTGCAGCCTGTGCCCAGCACCGGTCCCAGGTGGAAGAGGCAGCCTCCTCTCATCCAGGGTGCAGATTCAGGGACTTGCACACCCGGGAGGGCTGCCAGGCTGTGCCGGACTCCTCCCAGGGGTGCAAGCCCCCAGATCTGTGTGCTGGATGAGAGGAGGCTGGCTCTGCTGCCTGGGATCAGTGCTGAAGTCAAGTAAGCTTGGCTTCGAAACTTGAAGTGCCCTTGTTTCATTTAAAAGCTGTTTCAAAGCCTTTTGTTTCATTTTGATTTCACTGTTTTGAGCTTGAAACGTGTTGAAATAGCTTTGAAACAAAACATCCAGCAAAACTTCACACAGCCCTACAAAATAGCCAGTGCACACACATCAGAGTCAGTGCTAATTAGTCCACCTGTGGCACCTCATGGATGCTGCTGCACTGCTTCCTGGTATTCCACGACATCACACGCAGAGAAGCAGTGTGCCAGAAGATGAAGCTGCCTTGCATAATATGTCTGCAATCTTTATGTGCAATTCTTATAGCAGAATACTGCAATACTGCATGGCAGGGGTTGGTAACCTATGGCCTGTGGGTTGGATCTGGCCCAAGAAGGTCCAATCCAGCATGGAGGAAACTTGGTGGCACAAAGCTGCACAGTGCCAGCCATCCTCTTCACAGATATCCCCTTCACTGTGGAACTTGCTGCTATGCTATGTCTGCATTTCTCTTACTGCAGAGGGGGCAGGAATCTGCAGTGACAGGGAATGCAGGTAGCTGGCTGCTCTGGGGGCTGAAGACTTTTGGTGCACAGAATTACAACCAGGTTGCAAGTTCTGGCATTGATGTAAACATTGTAAGTATGTAACATAGAACACTATAATGATTTTGTGGGGTTCTAACATTTTTTATCAAATAGAATTGATTTCTTGTTCTAGTCAGGATCGAATTACCTAAGCAGTTGTAAAACAGGAATAAGCACAGTAACAAAGCAGAAATACATTCAACAGGTTTCAGTCTAGCTGCTTAAGACCATAATTAAAATTGAATTAAAAAAAAGCAAAAGCAAACCAACCTGTGGTAGCTGAGGGCTCTGCCTGCCAATCAATGTCCACTGACCATCTCTCACTCTGTACCCGCTTACTACCTTACCTACAACAAAGAATTAACCAATTCATGAATATCAGTTGTAACGATTTAGAAGGGAGAAGAAAAAAAACAAACAAAAAAGAACAGACATTGTAGATAAAGTTTGATGGTCTAATACAGTGCTAAAACCTCAACACAGGTAATAAAACTCTTACCTAATCGGTGTGTGTGGACTCTGTAGGCAAAGAGGTGCATTGGATACCTTTTATAATGGCAGGCAATATCAGCATCAACCACTGTTATGATATAAATAGGGATATAACATTTTAAAGATGTTACTTATTGAGCCAAAAGAGTAACTTTTTTTAGTATTTCACTGAAACATACCAATAAGGAAATTGTATAAAAAACCGGGATCTTTATCAAAAGACAAAGAAACATTTCTGAAAACACAATGGCTAGTAGTATCTTAAATTTCTATAGGGGCTTCCATGCTAATTGATCGAAGGATTTTTACAAAGAAACTTGTGTGCATATGTATACAGGTCACTTCAAGAATCACTTGATATTCATCTCCCTCTCAACTGAACCTCAGCAACTGTTTTACAGTCTATGCTGCCATAGTTCAATGTGCTAGTACTATAAATTTGCTTTTATGTTATGGTGCTGAGCACTGCATGAAAACAGTAGACAGGAGAGACAAATGAGATTATCTATGTTCCTCTTACTTGGTAAATTAAGAGTAATTTAAAGAAGATAGCACTGAAGATTATATTTTAAAAGATCATCTAATCATACAGCAGTTTTCAAGAGCTAAAGCCAGATTCAAGAGTAGACAAAGGCACCCTCCAGATGTCACAATTGTAGGATACATGCACACTTCCTGCTACAAATTGTAGTATGCAAGACGTTAATAGGATTCATCCTTGGAAAATAATGGCTGATCTGCGACAAAAGTGGCAGCTCCTTGACAAAGAAGTTGTTCATGGGCCCAGAACTTTAAAGGGTGTGCTAACAGCCCAGCATCAGGGAGCAGCTTTCCCAGTGGTGGGGTGCCCAGGAAAAAGAAGGTTTCCTTGATTGGCAGCCCATCACAAAACTCTCTCAGGGGCATCCTGCAGCTAACCTCCTCTTCCTATATTAGTCTGCTGCACAGGTTGGAGTTATAACAGTTTTTAAGAAAAGACTAGTGGTGCACCGATAGAGATTTTGGGGGGCTGATACCGACAGCCGATTTTTAAGAAGGCATATTGGCCAATACCAATCCAATTTCTGATACAGCTTCAGCTGCATGCAAAGTCCGTTGTGGTGGAAGGGGAGGGAGGAGGGAAGGGGAGTGGGTAGGCAGATCAATGCCCCCCCATGGTGAGGGAGGGGGCAGGACGTGGGATGGAGCCGCAACTCATTGTGGGGGGGTTGGTGGCTCCCACCGCTGCTCGCACCCATTCCTTCCTGCTCCCCCTTCTCTCCTGCTGCTTGGGGTCTGCCCTCCCCCCCCCGCAACTCCCTGGAGGTGGCGGCAACAGAGCGGACAGAAGATAACGTGGGGGGAGGGGAGAAGTGGGCCCAGACCCCAAGCAGCAGGAGGGAAGGGGGAATGGGCCTGGACTGGGGGGAGAGGAGCCCGGGGCTCCATCTCCATACCCATCCACTCCCCCCCAGTCATTCTTGATGGGCAGTTGGCTAATATATATATAAATGTTTGTGATAGATCTAGATAGATCTAGATCTATCACAAACATTTTTTCCTTACATATATAAGAACATATAGGCATAGGGTTTTTTCTCTCTCTCTCTACTTTTTTAAACAAGTAGTGGGCCATTTTGGCAAGAGATGTTATATATTTCTTTAAGGGAAAGGATGAATTGAATTATAAATTAAAAGTCTTTCAGAGTTGCCTCCTGCTTATTCATCTTTAAAACAAATCAAATCTAAGACAACTTTCAGCTTCTATTACATTGATGATAATTTCTCTCCAATATTGCTAAGCTCTCTGAAGTTAGTCTGCTAGAAATTTACTACAAATTTAAATGTAGTCATTTATATCATATTTGTTTCAGATAAACTCCTGTACCTGTACTTTTTTTTTTTTTAAATAATTCAAAGATTCTTTAAATTATCTTCTACAATAAACACCCAAACACATGAAGGTGAAAATATAGTCATTCTTTTAGAGTTTTTACTCACCTTTTTCTCCTGGTGGTATAACAGTATTCACAGACATCATAAGATACATGCCAGCAATCAAAGGCTGCCTGAAAAATAACAACTACATTTACTTCAAAAGCCCTACACAACAATTCATTTGTAAAATAGCCCTCTGCAGGCTATATGATCCATTATTCTTTTGAAAGGTCCCTTGGGGTACCAATTTTAAAGTGTTGAATTATTATTATAAATTGGTTTCCATTTGGAGAAACAAGATGTTAGAGTCTCTCTCCCATTTTTAAGGCAAATTTTGATAAAGGCCTACACAATAAGACAAAAACAGAGTTATTTAATGTTTGCGTTTTTCTAAACTTCTAACACTATTCTGTGCCTACAAAAGAATATTATAATAGTCAATATTATGATGAATGAAGCTGGACGCAACATGTTTTCACTGGGAAAATGAACATTTACATCAGTGTGAAAAAAGTAGACATACAACCTAGAAATGTACAAACATAACTGGACTCAAACTTGGTGGAGAGTTATCTTGGGGAAAACATGGTAAAAATAGATAGGTGTAAGTTACACCACAGCAGGTATTCTGCATTATTCCAGGGTATTAACCTTTTGCTTAATGTAGGTTATTATCTGCTCCCCTGCAACCTTATAATGACATGTTATACTAAAGCCTACTATAGCATTTACCTTGAGATAACCAGTCTCCTATATGCTTTGGGTCTCAGTGTAATTTACACCAGTGTTCTACATCAATGTAACATGTAACATTTATATATCAAGTACCCAGACCCTATATGAAGCATGATATATGAAAGTTTCATAATGTAAAAACATTTTTATTGACAGGCAAGTCTTTGGTGCATTTCATTTTAAAACTGAAAAGCTATTCAAAACTTGTGTTTAAGTGTTCACCTACTTCCCTATGATTTCAGGTCCTCTGAAAAAACAAAGACTTCTTCGAACTAGAATCTGTAAGAACACTCAACAGATACAGGTCCCTAGATCAAACTTGGATAAACTCCAAGAAACATCAGACATACTTACTTCTGATGCGTCAGATGTAAAGTTACGCCAGAACAATCCTTGTGGTTATCTGAACAAAACATGAAAGAGCATTTTATCTGTTAATAATTGAAAGTGGAGGAATTGTGATTTGAACAACAATTCAGTAAGCGGATGAAAAAAAGCTGTTAAAAATAATACGTTTTTGATAGGAATATTACACTTAGTCTTATGGTTTAAACTTGATGAAATTACATTTACATCATGGCCCTATACACTGTAAAAATATAATATTTATTGTTCAGAGAGGCAGAAACTCAAAAAATATATTGTTCACCTTAACTTTTAAAGCAAAAATATAGCTAAATTCTGCTGAGTAAACACTGTCAATGGTACCATTTATGTTTTGGCAGAGATTAAAAAATATAGAAATTCTGTTTGAGGAGAACACATTTTTGACTAATTTATGACATAAATCAGTGAAAATAAATACATTTACAGAAGAGAAATGTCAACTTTTTATCCACTGGCAGTGCATTTACTGACAGAAATGGTTGGATTCCCTCATCATAAAATCAGCATTTGCATTCAGATATTGTACTTGAGGAAAGTAGTTGTGTACAAGAAGTGCGTAACCACTCTCATTTTAGTTTGTCCAGCTACCCAATAAAACTTAACATTTTACCAACAAAGCTGCTTGCTTGATATCTAGTCAATTTCAAACCTTAAAAGTAGATCTAGATATTTTACCTGCTGATTAATTTTATTTAAATAAAATTCAGGTAAACCATAAAGTGGACAATAGTGATAGGTGGACAATGAATCAGCATGAGTTTCATCATAACATTACTTTTCTGGAAAACTGCATAGCCACAAAAAAGAAATGCTAGATGAGTGAAGAAATTGGCTAAAATATTCTTGGGTGGGTTTTCATATCTTGCTCACCACAGTATCTGAATATTTTTTATGTCTTGAAATTACTTTTGGTGGAACCTGTATTTCTGAAGCAAACACATGAAATAGAAAATAATTGGCACTGCATCTTTAAAAACAACAACAAAACAACTAAAAAACCCCTCTCCTTGATAAGCATAAGAGAAACAACAACTGGAGAGAGAGCTTCCTCATCTTATTTGCTGATAGGCATGATCAAAACTACATATTTACTGTAGGTGCATCAAGTGTGCAGAAAGCAGCATCTAATAAGGCTTAGAAGTAAGAAATGCGATGAAGCAGAAACAAAAGCAGTACAGTACTCAGATAACGACCCACAAAGAAAGGCAGTTCTTTTCAATGTAAATGAAATTCTCGCTCTACTACCCTGAAGAATAAGGCCTCAAGTAGAAAGGATTCTGCAACTCACTGCAGTTCCCTTACAGTGGGTTAGGCATGGTTTCAGAAGAGCCTCCTAAACTCAGACGTCCACTTGAATTCAAATATATTTGCAGGTCTCCAAAACATACACAAATGAAATCTACAAAACTGATATACCTGTCACCTTTAGCCCTTATTAGAAAACAGCCAAATGTGTGCTTTACAATGAAAATGAAGACTTCATCACACTGACACAGACAGACAGACAGGCACGCACACACATGCATATGCACACACACACAACTATTGATTTGGCACTTAACTTATCAAAGAAAAACTTTATTTAAGAAACATAATGTCTGTTGAGGATGGACGAAACAAATCTGTTTCCAATGACAGTGTAAAATATATATTATTTATAATGAAACATATTACATAAAACATTTTAGTTGCATTTTATTTGGACAGAAATACAAAATCATGAATGAAAGCAAATCTTGTGTGTGCACTTTAAAGAATAATCTCACAAATACATTTTGAACTATTACATTTTTCAAAAAATTAGATGTTCAGTACCATGCCTGTTGGCACTGGATCTATGACCCAGATGCCTTGTTGTGGGGGACCCAAAACCCTCAGATCAACTGTGACTTTCCCAAATTTATTGATACACAGTGATAACAGAAAAGAATAATACAAGCAATTCTATAGCTACCAATCCTAGGGCTGTCATCAGAGTCAAGATACACCTGGCCAGGATGCAACCTTCACTGTGAGGTTCTCTCTTGAATGTCAGAGGTTAGTAGCCTGGAGGTCAGAGGTCGAGGTCATCTCATCCATCCCACTGGAGGTCACCCAGTGGGATGGATGAGATGGGCTGGTGGTATGCCCTCTGGCCATGGTGCCTTGGGTTCCTCTCTCAGGGACCCCTCTTGGGGATGGAGGGACCCTTAGTTGCTCCAAAGCAAGGGTTTTCAACTTCTGGCAGAGCAGGGGGTGGCAGTGGTGGCAGTTGGGGGGGGGGGCTGACACGGGGGGGCAGGGTAGGGGGGGGGATGGGGGGGG